ATATATATATATATATATATATATAATTTATTAATTTTCCAATTTTACATTTGAGTATTTAAAAAGCAACGTGGTGACTGGGTGAATCAATAATTCAATAACAAAATCTTTAGTGCAAATCTCAGGTTACAACATCAGATATTTCTTCTCTTTTTTTCCTTAACATTTACTATCTCTATTCAAACTACTACATTTCTAATTACGTTAACTCAATAAAGACATCATAATTACATTTATCAATAATTTTTTAGCTTATACGTATCTTAATTACATTCAATCTTCAGGAACAATCCATATCCTGTTATTGATTTTTGCATAATTTTTAACTTCTCATCAATATTCCAATTTAACCTTTGATATAACCATATTTTTCAGACCTTTATCTCACTTCATAACAAACTTACGATGTCCAAAATACACATTTTATCTATTTAAATATAATCTTGTTCCATTTCCTAAAAGCTATCTATTTCCCACCATATTAAGTCATCTACTTAATAATACAATATCCCCTTTAATAAATCAAAACCATTTTATACATATTGCCTGGGTTAATCAATAAGTTAAACATATTCATGATAATTAATTTTCTTTTCTCTTTTACATCTAATTTTTCAATATTTAGTTTTTTTTCATAAAGTCAGATCCGAAATGGCTTCAACTGAGGAATGGGTAACTTCCTAAATTGTCATTTTTATGGTCTTCTGATGGCTACTGGAGACCGTTTGCAAACTAATCCTTGAACAAGTAAAAAGTCTGTGGCGTGGTAGAAAAGCCAACGGAGACTAACACAGACTCTGCGGAATCCAGCAATTGTCCCCGAGGACCAACTGATCAGAATTAAATATTAGAGGTAGTCCTCACTTAGTGACTGCAGCTGAGTCTAGCAACTCCGTTACTAAGTGACACAGTTGTAAACTGAAACATCCTGTGTCCAGCTGCAAATGTGAAATGAATCGCCCTGGTTGTTAAGCACAATGTCCGTGGCCGTGATTCCTGGCTTCCCCAGTGACCACCTGTCAGAAGGCGGAAAATGCGACCGCAGGATACTGCCACCATTGTAAACTCACACCAACTGCCAAGCGCCCAAATTGCGATCGTGTGATGCAATGGTCCTAAGTGTAGAAAACCAGCCCAAAGTTGCTTTTTTCCCCCCAGTCCCGTTGTAACTTCGAACGGTCACTAAATGAACTGTCGCAAGTTGAGGACTGCCTGTACCGTCTTTTGGCCACGCCTGAATTTCCCACCCTTCGACCTCATGACTCCCAAGTTCCCAATCCTCCAGTTTCCCAGCCAAAATCCAACCGGTCCTTCCGGAATTTCCCCTTACCGAATGGTGAGCTCCAGGATCTGAGCCAGTCGGTCGTGGAGGAGGTTTGCCTGGAGAGAAAACAGACCGAGTGAGATTGGGGGGGTGGACAAGATCCCTTTCTTTTGTCTTTTCAGTGGGACAGCCGGCCTCCCGGAGTTGGGGGCTTTCAAGAATGAATTAGACAATGGGATGGCATAAGGACTCGTGCTCTCAGCGGGGGTTGGACTAGAAGACCTCCACGGCCCCTTACCGCCCTAGGATTCCTATTCTTCTTTTTAGAATCATAATAATATAAGCTCTAACAAAGAGAAGGACCAGGGGTGACATGATAGCACTCTTCTGATATTTGAGGGGCTGCCCCAAAGAAGAGGGGGGGGGTCCACCTATTTTCCAAAGACAGGACAAGAAGCAACGGAGGGAAATTCATCAAAGAGAGAAGCAACCTGGAATTAAGGAGAAACTTCCTGACAGTGAGGACAATTGATCACTGGAACAGCTTGCCACCAGAAGTTGTGGGTGCTCCATCACTGAAGGATTTTAAGAAGACCCTGGAAAGCCACTTGTCCGAAATGGCATAGGGCAGGGGTAGGCAACCTTGGCTCTTTTATGACTGGTGGACTTCAACTCCCAGAATTCAACTCCCAGCATGGCTCAGGTTGGAAATCTCTCCCTTTCCCCTCAGCATGGCTGGCTCAGGAATTCTGGGAGTTGAGGTCCACCAGTCATAAAAGAGCCAAGGTTGCCTCGCCCTGGTATAGGGTCTCCTGTTCGAGCTGGGGGCTGGACTAGAAGACCTCCAAGGTCCCTTCCAATTCTGTTATTCTGTATTCTATTCTGTATTCTCTTCTTGAAGCATCCCATATCCCGGATTATCCCTCACTGATAAAAGCTGGAAAAAATCCTCTCTGGGAGAAAAACGCCGTAACGTGGCCCGCTTTCTCTCTTCCCACATCTCCCGAGCAGAAAAGCCAGTGTTTTTGTCCTCAGCTACAACCCCGTTTCCTACTGTGTCAAGCAGAAATTGTTAACAGGGAGTTTCTTGTTCACCCAAGGGTTTCAATCTGACAATCCTACTCTGGATGCCGGTTCCCATCCATAAGAGGGACAGTGAAAAGTTCTGTCCCCTCCTCACGTTTTGCACACTCGTCTGCCCCGATTCTCACACTCCGTTATGCAGAATAAAACGTTGCACCAGATTGTATCTCCCGACCCTTCACCCTTGTAGGACAAGGTGGGTACCATGTGCACCCCAAATGGAGAAAAGTGGTCACCCCAGCTTAGCTCGTGCTGTGGGATCCTCTCTCTCTTAA